CAGAACAATAAAAAGAGTCTATGGCTACTAACTGACACTTCCGCCCTGTCTCAAATTTTAAATGGGATGCCCCGCGTGATATTTTAGAGTAGCGATATCGATAGAGCTCTGACGACGCACGAATTCAACGATATATGGGTTAATAGGTCTATCTTGAACCGTTTGTGTCTTACAAAAAATGAGAAAAACTTTACAGCTGTTGCAACACTCAGCAATTATGATTTATTTTAAATGAAGTGCTTCAGAACATGGCTGATAAGGTTAATAGCACTCTTTGTATTATGTGTCAGATAAACGTGTTCGTAGTTGGAAATACATGATCCCTTATAGGGCTTGTACAGAATAACCTAAAGCGGTTTAATGAATTCTCCCTGGAACCCCTGCTTATAAGTTTCTGCAGAGAAATCGTTAATCTGCATTTCTCTGTCTGCCTCGCATACGACCAATGGTCATTTTCGATCCCTGTTTTATTAGTTTCGCCTTGGATAGGTTTAGTTTTTGATACGACGTTCTTCAGGTGACCCCAGAGGAAAAAATCAAGGGGTGTGAGGTCAGGTGACCTTGGCTGCGATTCGATACTTCCTCGCCTTCCAATCCACTTCTCTGGAAAAACTTGATCTAGGAAATGTCTCACATAAACTGCATAATGTGGCGGTGCGCCATCTTGTTGATACCACAAATTTTCGTGTGACATTTCAGGATTATTTCTATTTTGGAAATAATCCCTTATTATAGGTTTAATATAAGATAAGTCTGCAGAAATTGAAGATGACCTATCCCAGTTATGAGTGTGCCGTCAAAAAACTAAGCGCCCAATAATACGAATTTCACCTCATACACATGCCGCACTACGCGGCAAACTTTGATTTTCTGAGGATATTGGGTGTGGCTTTCTCTCATCCATCTAGGGTTTTCGTTGGACCAATATCGTACGTTTTGGCGATTGACTTCTCCGTATAAAGTAAATGTAGATTCATCTGAGAAGATTATACGTTTTACGAAATAATTGGATCCATATTATGCCCCTAGTCACTCAATATTTTGGGCAAAAAACTAGCAATTCTTACTATCTAGCGATCTCTTCGGATCTACTGCGCTTCGGTCAAACCTCCTGTACTAACGTTCCATTTTGTATGGTGGCCACCATTCCATCCTTAGCAAAGCCTGTCTTGAACAACAGCTTTTTGTCGAACATTAATATTCTCCAGACAGACCTGACGGACACTATTTTATGTGGATTTTACTCGAAGTAAAAAATCTTCGTGTTGGCTTTCCTCAAACTCGAGCAGGTAAGGACGTCGGCCGCTTTTTGAGCCAAATCTATCGAAACGAACCCGTTTTCTGCGGAATTTTAATTTTCTTTCTACTTATCTGTTGAGTTGAGATATGGTTCATATTCAGGGAACGGCGAGGAGATATGATATGTATTTTTTTGAATACAACAACGCATACCTTCTTTCTCGTGTGCGTACTTCGTCCACATAACTCCTATCATCATCTAGAAAAACTTCAATTCTTTGTGTAAACGAAAACTGCATTGTACTTCAAAGCAAGGGAATGTTTAATTGATAACAAAATGCTCTGACACTCAAGTGACAAGGCTAACAATAAGACTGGTGTTTACTTTAGCGTGTGCCTCTGGCAGTAATCAAAAAAGATTATTAAGATGTACCTTTAACAGTTGACAATGTTTGCTGTTATCCGTATAATAAGGGAGCCCACTAAAATCCGAATTAAAATGCTTACAATTGCCACATCACCATGAAACGTCCATATATGACAGGGTTATAGGTAATAAAATACTAGTCAGGCGGCTAGGCGTGCGGCAGTTCGGCAGCGCGCGCAAAAACATCATACTACTTCCCTAAGTTTGTTTATTTGATATATTCTTTTATGTGAGTCTATAAAAGCAAATAAAATACTACGGGGTTTGCGTTGTCACCCGCGCATCACGCCGCCTTGAGCTCAAGACAATAAGCGCAAACTTTACCAAATTGTTCTTTTTATTTCCACAGTTTAGGCCTTCGTTTTTTCGTTAATGAAAGTTATTATTAAAAAAAAATTTTTAACAATTTTTTTTTTTTTTTTTTTTTTTTTAAATAATAATATTCAATAGTTTAAGGAATTTTAATTTATTATAAAAAAAAAAAAAAAAACGTTTTATTTTTTTGTAAATAAATTATAAAAAGAATTAGCTAACGCTACGAGACCTTTAAATTGTAGTACTAGAATCGAAAAATAAGGTTATTGTGTTTTCCTCTAGTAA